ACCTTCCTGCGGGCTGTATCACTTTTGCTGGGCCTGGTCATTGGCAGAACAAGAGGGGAGTCAAGGGAGAGAAGCCTCAGCAGACCAGGGTTAGCGTATTGACCATGAGGTTGAAGACAAGACAGGTCTGAAAGAGTTTTTAAAAATTGTTTGCTTATAGAAAAGCTATTGAAGAAATAAATTTGACCACTTCTGACACTCCATATCACAGATGCAGCAAAACAGATTACAAATGAAAACTAATTAATTAATTTTTGTAGAAACTATTTGTATTTTCTAAACTCAGGTGGGCTACATTCACGTATCAGATAATTTAGCATACTTAACATCTTTATTTGCCATACCTACAAATTCCATAGGATTTCTAAGTATAAATATTAGAATCTGGTTTACAAATTCCATAGGATTTCTAAGTATAAATATTAGAATCTGGTTGTGTATATTTAAGTGGACTTTTAATTCCTTTCTCTGGACAGGACTGAATCTGAGGAAACATAGATGTTAGAAACCCAGATAGCTCCAAAAACTTGATATACCAATCCTATTCATTAAGTGGCAAACTGATCTCCAGGTCAACCCACTTGCATACACATGCCTGTCACTTAAGTTCTATACATTCTACACCCATTCCATGGAGACAATGTTTTTGAAAAAAGCTTTCTGAGAAATCTCATACTGTATTTTAAAAGTTAAAATACTAGCATTAAGAAGAGAGTAGGGAAAAAAGACTGAGAAAGAACACTTCAAACTCAAGACTGTCCGTGTCTGTGGGAAAAGCTAGATGATGTGTATTATCTTGATTACACTCTCAAAAAATACTGTAGAACGGGACAAGACTGAGAAAAGCAACATAGGCTACAAGAAGAATAAAGTAACTTCTTATATGAGGAGAGAGTAAACAGTGTAGCTTTAAAAAGAGACAGCTAAGCAGGGATATGACAGAAAGCTCCAAAATTATGGAGTGTGTAGAGAAAACAATTAGGGATTTAATGACTACTTTAACACAAACACTGTGACATGAAAGCTATGAAGCCAGTGGAGTTATTCAGTAATACGTCTAAAATAAACAGCTGAAACTACTTTTTTATACAACACACCACTGAACAGTGGAATTCATTCCAAGAGGATGTCTTGGTTGGCAACCACCATCCATGAAAAGATAGAAATTGTTGAAGTTCACAAACACAGAAGTGCAAATGAAGCTCTTCTCTAGGGTTTGCTGAGCCGCTGCCCATGGAAGCACACATCACAGGGTAAACACCTGACAATTCCTCTGTTCCTAACTTTTCTTCTAAGCCTCTGTGATGGCACCTTGCAATAGTGAAGACCATGGACTAGACAAGAGGGATCTACTTAAATATCCAGTTTTATATTCTCAGACCCGGTGTCTGATTTCTCTAGATGACATTAGCTAAAGTAACTCTCTCAAACTCAGAAAGAGTAAAGCCTTTGCTTGGGTTTTCATGACTTTAGCAGGATTAATCAAATCAGGAATATGAACAACCGTTCAACTGACCCTCTCAATTTATGTAAACATATTAATTTCAACACAGATATGCCTTGGGCAGGAGGTTGCACGAGGAATTAAACTGTGAACAAAAACACAGAGAGTGTGACACCCAGCATAGAAACACTGCTCAGTGTCTGAGTAAGATCTGCTTTACAGTTTTCAATGTACATGTCAAAAAAGCATACACAAAACCCATTTCATTAGAAAAAAAAATGCACTTTATGAAGAGCTGAAACACTCCCCAAAATTCTCATTTGCTTTTTAGCAAACTTAATTTACTACTTCAATATTAAAGGTTGTCTCCTTTTTTTTTTCTTCTTTTTTTCTTTATCCCTTCATCATTCGATAGGACAAAAGGAAATGGCTTCAGGTTGCACAAGGGAGACTTAGGTTGGATATTAAAAAAAATTTCTTCACAGAAAGGGTTGTAAAGCATTCAAACTGGTTACCTAGGGAAGTTACGATCCCTGGAAGTATTTAAAAGATGTGTAGATGTGGTGCTTAGGGATATGGTTTAGTGGTGACCTGGCAGTGCTGGGTTAATGGTTAGACCTGATGATCTTAAAGGTCTCCTCTATCCAAGACAATTCAATGACTCTGTGAGTCCATCTTACACTGTCAAGTAAAGCATTTCATTAATGGCACTGGCACTGAAACCGATGTGAACTTGAGACTACATTCACGATGCTCTTTGCTCACTGGACGGATAAACAGGTTAAAACTGCTTTCAGCTTGTGCCCAACAGCCCTTGAAGGCTGAAGTCAACAACATCTAACATCAGCTCTGGACAGATAGAGTAAAACATGTTTAATGCTATGTTACTTGTTGAACTGACTTCAATTATATAGAAGAAAATCTGACCTCTTTTGATTTAATCAATACAATCTGAAGTCTCCCTTTAAGACATTATGATATAAAATATCCAGTACAGGCCCTTAGATTTGATCAATGCAAGGAATCAGAGCAGATTAATCAGATTTAAAAGCTATAGATTTTACAAATCCTCTCACTTTCTTTTTGCCTTATTTTCCCTACCTCTACATATGTTTCTGTGTGTGAAAGTGTTTGGTAGTCTTATTTTACTGAGTGGAAAATTAATTGTGCAGGCAAAGGCAGTTCATTCTCTAACTCAGTAAAGTATTACTGTATGATCTCCAGTCTGATTATGATTTTTCTCTTCCTCCCATTCATTCTTTGCTTCATCACTTCTGTTTAAACCCAACTAATGCCAATATTCTTTTTAGAAAAATAATTCATACTTACAATATATATGAGAGGAAAAAAGCAACCAAGTTCCTCTAAAACACACTTACATTTCTAGCCCCATTTGCTTAAAATGCAGTGCCTTTATAAATCAGTTTTATTGATTTTTATAAATCCCACAGCTGTCATTGAATTAACCAGCCAGAAGAGCCAGGCTTCATACAAATAAAACTAAATTACTGTAGTAAAATAAGGAAACCAAAATTATTCCTTAGGATCAATATTACACAAAACCTTTAAATGGTTAAGAAGCATTCACTGAAGCACATACAAGCATATAGTGATGGAACAGAAACAATTTGCTGCATCACAACTTTAATGTAGAGTACAAAAGTGAAAGACTGACTGGTTTAAAAACCATTAAATATGAAAAGCCTACTTAAATAGCACATGAGTCCACATGCTACCTTGCCAAAAGACCAGTGCCTTTAAAGAACAACTGTTATTCAGTCTTCACGTCCTATTGAGCTCTAGCTTCACTGGAAACAATGGCAACCAAAATAC